GTAATCTATCACCAATCTCTCAATTCCGTAAGTTGTCTGTGTTCAGAGTGATGAATTATCAAAGAGAATGAAGAAGCATTCACTTAATGGTGTCTATTAAGTGCAATAGCTGATACTATGTCTATTTTATCTCATTTTGTGTCTGGGATTCTGTCGTTATTTGCTGTGCAGCGGCAGCCCAGTTAGCATACGGTAATAATTAACTCGATCTTTCATACTGATCAACTCTCCGAGATAATCCGGGAGTCTCCCTGATACAGAACAAATCTCTCGGTCTCCAGTATGAGTAGCCAAATCTCCCTGATAAAAGCCACTTTGGAAATTTGCACCACCATCAGCTTCATAATCCTCTTCTATTTGTTTGTGGGGTGGGGGAGGGGTGTTGAGATGAGGGATTGGTCCCCCCCCCCCGAGCACAACGGCAATAACCAAACTCCCCCTCTCTCCCACTGAGCAAAATTTTAGAAACTCCAGATTTTATATTTCCCGAGATTGGCATCTCTCATCTTTTCAAGGGGGAAAATAATCAATCATCTAAAACATGATTTTCAACTCACTAAAATAATATAATTATATAGCAGTTGTGGTGTTTTTACAGTATAGAAGAGAACTAAAAGACTGCTTTTCAACTTTGTTGCTACCACTCAACAGGAAAGCTCTAATTATAAGAATTTATGACCTAAAAAAAATCAGTATCGATCTGTAAAATTCGGCCCAAAATTCACAATTTTGCCTATTTGAAAGTGTGAGTCACTACCATACCAGTACAGTACTTCTCAGGTGCTGAAACATTATTTTCATCAACCCACAAATCCAGGTGCCTTTTCATTAAACCTAACACTGTGTAACTGTGCACCAGTAGCTATATATATAAGGTATGAAGACAGAGGCAATAAAGACTAATCTCCTGGACACCCAGCTTCAGTATAAGCTCTAATGCACTTTTAAATCAATCTGATTTTCTTAGATCTGATTGATCTGCATCACATAACATAGGATGTTGAAAACAATGTCATTTTTTTTTTTTTTTTTTTTGCTGATGCTGTCTGCATCTACTGGAAGCGTGCCATCAGCTAACCAGAAATTTCAAGGGGGGGGGGGGGGGGGGCTTATTCTGAAAAAAATCCTTTTTACCACGGTGACCTTAAATTTGTGGACACAATGTGAGAAAATCAGGCATGGAACCTATATTGATAATGGTAGACGGAATTATGATTTAGAGCTAAGAGGGCAGTTCTTTCTAGCCCCCCTACCCCACCCCTCCCCACAGGCCTGATTCAAATGAATTACATATATATATCCATAAACTGGTGTCACTGGCACTTAAAGATTCTTAAAGTGCACATGATCTATTCAGTTTCTTCACAATTCACAATGTTCAGGCTAAATAAAGCCATTTCTTCAAGTGCACTTCATTTAATGTCTGTCATGAAGCTTGATCGAGGCAAGCAGCAATGAAATCACTGAATCAATAGTCTCACAGGTTTTCACTCTCACACTAAATAAAATGTATAAGGGCTCATTCACAATGTATTTATCGACCCAGCTACAGCACACTAATTCCACAGGGACTCTCGCTGAATGCAATCAAATAAAATCTTTAAAAATCACTGTGACAAGGGCCACACAAAATTTTAAGGCAAAAGAGGATTTTTCTCCTGTTAAAAAATCAAATGTTCTGATACTTTTCTACTGAAAATCTGATCAAAATCATTTTCATGGGGTATTTCATGGCAATAATTTGCCAGCTAAAGACTTCAAAGACTCAGGCATGTTTTATAAGGTACACAGAAATGCAATAAGTCCTGGAAAATGGCGTACATACTGAGATCTTTAGGGAACGACTTCAGATATCTGACACAACCAATATCAAATTACAGTCACCAAGAATACTAGATAAATGTTTTCAAAGTATAATTGCAAATTTTCGAAGAACACGTATACACCTGTGCCTCACAAAAAGACTACGTATCTTTGGAAATCTACCACCACCAATATCAAATTATCACACTCAGTTAATAAAGAAGAGAGATGAGGGATTTCCAAGTAAGATATAAATCTAACAGGAAGCAGGTTACAGATTTCGTGCAATTTAGCTGAAAGACAAATTATAAATGACAATTTTTGGGGCCATATATTCATATGATATTATGGCAATTTCGTAATTGCATGCATGATATGCTTTTCATGCCTCAATTAATTAAGCATGTGCTCTTTTGCACTTAATGATAGAATATTAGATAACTGATGTACTGTATCAAAGATTTCACATCAGAATGACTTAATGTTTGAAAAATAATAACCCAATCATATATTGTACAGGTACCACTAAAATGGCATCTGTTGCTGAAGACAAACAAGCTACAGAAATAAGTGAAAATATATTCAATTCAGTGAACCACTATCATAATAGGCATGCATGCTATTATATACCTGTGTAATTATTCCTTTCACCATATAACTGTTCATTTATTTCAGCTCATACTAAATGAGTTTATGACATCTAATGCAACTTTTGAAGGAGCTGCAGTGTGACAAGGGAAAACATTATTTGATATTTTCATCCCTTTACAAGAACATTCTTTTGGTTTGTTTGTTACATGTAATTGAGAAGATTAAGACCGTGTGCATGGCAAATATAACAGATATACTGACTAGACTAAAACAATATAATATTATTATGTAATTGCTAACATAATACTTATCTTCACTTAACCTGACACAAATAACCTCTATAAGTAGCCTTGTCATTTCCCAATAGCCCTCAGGTCATTATTAATAGATATAAAAGGTCAATAAACATCATATTTATTGTTTTTGAATAACAACTATAGAATCCATGTAACCTTTAATTTCCTTTTATGTATACTTCATCTGTCAAAGCATGGGGGTGGTTTCTTATACGCATTAGTAACAAAATGCATAAACAAACACCATTTGCATGCTCGCGCATTTTATTGAAGTGACCTCAGCGGAGACGTATGCCAGCACACGCTCGTGTTCAAACAATTTAAAACCTTATGCTAGCAACATCAACATTATTCCACTATCGTAAACAGCATTTAGCCCTGTCAGCATGATAACAGCTTGCTATGAGTAAATAATGATCTAGGCTCGGCTTATCTAGAAGTGAATTGGCGTTTCATGAGGACTCATGATTTTATGGGATTTGGTTTGCTGGGTAACACAACTCTTACGTAGTTAGAGTGGCTAAGAGGAAAAGGGCTTATATTATATATATATATATATATATATATATATATATATATATATATATATATATATATATATATATATATAATCTACCACCACCAATATCAAATAGAGAGTCATTTTATTAATTGATGTCTTGTTTCT